AAAAATGTGAGAGCAACGGAGTCACAAGCCACCTCGGAAATTAATAAGTTCCCACTCACCTTTGGTAGCAAACAAGCATCCCAGTCCGATGGCACAGTGGCGAAAGAAAGCCCCGGCGCTAACAGCAGCTCACGCTTGGAGCAAACGAAGCTAATCCTCCGTCTTTTTATCCCACCCTCTCCTTTCTCCGCCTCCTCCTCGACCGCAAATTATCATGCAAAACGAGAAGGAGGGACTTGGGAAAGTAAGTAGCCGGCGGGCGGTGCTCTTTAATCATTTAGCGGCCGCTTCATTGTAGTAGTACTTATTTTATATATCGTGCGAGTGATTGATACTAAAGACTCGAAACTCGAACCTGTGATTTTCTTGCCGAGATAAGCGGAAGAGGGCAGGGAAACGATGACGACGAAGTTACTGCCGTCGGTGATGATCGCTGCGATATATTTTTTTTTTTTTTTTACCCTCTTTTTGGCTTCAGAGAGAGAGATAGAGCGGGAGTGTTGTGTTTATCATCTTCGATCTTTACTTCGCACTTTCGGCTCAAAGGAGGGGGAAGAGGTGTCCACCGATTTTTAATTAACTCTTTAGATAAGAGGCATTATTTGAAGATCCCTCGTTCTTGTGGTGCCTTTTAATTGATTTTTAGTTTAACGAGTAAACTTTAGTGTGTCTTTATAGTAGATCAATAATCTCTTACACTTGCGAAGAGACACGTGTTACACGTGTATACACGTAGATATTTCGCTCGCAAATTTGGTTTAACGATGCATGTTCTCGAATAAAGAGACTTGACTGCAGCGTACAACACCTTGCTTATTTCTCGGCGTCGACTCAGTACGCGTGAGCTTACATTGGCGGTCAATGTTCTTGGCTTTTGTCCAAAGTGTGCTAATACACAGTGCGCAACACAATATATACAAGGGTGACGTGGAAAAGTGACTTTTATCGTACGATTAGGCGATACATTCTGTAGGTAATAACGATATATCGTACGCAAATCAAAAAGCAGAATACAATATTATGTTCGGCAACTTGATGAAAGAGTTGAACAAAAAAAACAAGAGAATTTACTCATCGTAACGTATGCGTAAACAATCACGATTTCCCAGAGACTTACTCGAATGTAAATCGTGAGACCGGGAAAGCCTGATCTACGCATCCAAGTTCAAGTATAATGTCTCAGCCTGAGATTGGGAGTAGTGAGGGGTAAACAACTAATTTCACGAGAGCGCGAAAGGAACACGCGAGCGCGCAGTCAATAAAGACACAGAAAGGAAACATTATCAATATTTCAAAAGCGACTTCCTCTCCGGGACGTCGCATTAGCGCAATTTTCGTCCCCCGGTCGCGCCCTGTTGTATAACAACACCTGCCGCCACTTTTTCCCCCTTTGTCAGTGTTTTAATGGCCTTTTATTCCAACTCGTGTACCTAATGGCTGCAAAATGTGTTTTCGTGGTGAATTCGACAGCGTGTGTTTTTATTTCGAGGCACCGCGAAGGTGCCTTTTGACTCTGCTCTTTTGGCGATTATTTTAAAAAGTACCCTTTCAACTTTACTGAGGTTGTCTTCTTTTCGAGGCTGGTTTTTCACCACAAAGGACTGAATGGAGCACTTTTGGCGGAGCTTTAAATCTCGCTTTAAATTACAAGAGATACTCCGAGACATAAATTTGGGCAACATTTCAAGGTAAATGCGAGTTTTCAAGCGTAATTTAGTACATTTATAATTAACAGTGTCGCAGATTAACACCTTTGTCACAATCGTAACCACCACATTTGGAGCCTGTACACTCACCAAAACAAGCCTTAGATTTTTTATTTAAAAGCATATAAAATTACACATGTATCTGATCGAAATGGTTGAGTGGCATTAACTAGATCTACCTCTCAATGGGGAAGAAATGAACACATTAAAATATCTCGAGAGTCTAGGATTTATTTAATCACTACTTAGAGGCTAGACGCATTTTTCCTGGTTTGGCAACCCGATGTTAACAAAACAGTCTCCGTTCTCGACAACGCACATCGATTTCTGGTAATGTACATTTTATGTATTATTGCATTGAGCACTTAAGTAAAATAACTCATTTCATATCTGTAACGGAAAGGAACGCTACCAAGACGAAGCTTTGAGATCACAAACAGCAAACGTTTACTATGTGGCGCACGGCACAAGAGTCAACAATCCCCGACCCGAAAATCGATCGAAGCCCTCCTCAAACGTAACGCGATTGGACTCGGAGTAAAACCCTTGGAGGCCTCCTGTCGTATTATTATACACTATAGCACCCACACCTCGAACAACACGCCTATTCTCCCCTGCAGCGACCAACAGCCGCAATAATTTAGTAGGTATGTAAGAGCAATGGGGCGCCAACACGCAGCACTTACCTCCACGGGGATGATGACTCCGGTGCCAACACGCGCGTAGGAGGCCAGGTCTTGAGGCGGAAATCTAGGTTCGCGTGTCGCACAACCGTGTAAGCGCTTGGCTCGTTAGGCCTCCCTGCTTCTATGTTAGATTTAGATGCGCTACGAGGGGATGCCCATCCCCATCGATCTATTACGATTGGATACCCTTGTTTGACGTGTATACGTCCTCTTGTTTGCTCTGTTGTTAACCCAAGAACGTGTTTAGTGCTAAATATCTCATCGCATACACTATTTTTATACACGGATTCCACTCGATTCTATATCGAGATCGCGTAACTACCTTATCGCCTCTAAGTGACTGATTAACGAGCCAATATTGTATTAGGAATACCAGGAACGCATGAAATCAACATCCTGAGCGTAAATAGATATGTGTGTACGACTACACCTTGTGTACACACGTGTAGTGGGTCTTGTGGATGCTGAGATCCGACAACGTAGCTAGCGTATAAACACGTGGTCTAATGAACAAGCTGATATCACGAGTTGTAAACAGTTAAACAAGTCCTGCGCGAAGAGTATATCGATCATTTACCCCGGAAAACACTTTTTAACCTATACTAACATCGCCTTCTTTCTTGTTATCTCTCTCTTTTATATCGAAGCACGACAATACGGATCTTTTAGTTGGAGGAATTGATTTGACCTTTTCAGAACACCACATGTGCCTACATACTGTAGGTATATATTACACCAGTACACATGTAGAGAGTAGGCCAGGGAGGCTTTGTCGAGGTGAGAGAGTAATCACAGAGGAACGAGTGTCAATGTAAGCCGTGGGGTAAATCACGTGTGTACGGAGTGGAGAGCATCAATATTTGGGGCGCGGGCAATCGCCTGGATTATTGTAGATCCCCTGCATTTACCTGCGCGAGTGCTCGCAACGAGCAGCTTCACTTCGATTGGATTGTAATTAGCGGCCAACAATCGGAGGCTTATACGTGATATCAACCCGTGGCGTACTGTTCGCGATCGAGTTACGAAAGCTTTTGGCGAGTACCGATGAGCTCGAGAAGCTTTTACCGGCTTTGTCGAGATGTTTGTGGACAATGGGAGTGTTTTACACGAGAAAGTAGGTACCTTCTATGCGTGGTTATCTTCGAATCTTTAATGACGACTACTATGGGCCGAACGTACCTACATTGAAAATGGAATAATTGGAATTTGAGGGTATCACACGATCTGGCCAGAAACTCTGTGTTGTGTTGTTAGCTGTAGTACGCTACACAAGAGCTAATCTGATAAGTGCGAGGATAAGTGTCGTATACTCCAAATGAATAGTTTTTCAATAACGTCATATGTACGTGTCTCAATGTAAAAGCACTATCTAAGGTCCTTACGAATTGAGGCATTTTCATCCATTGCATGAGTTATATAGATGGACGGGAGCTCTTTGGTCTTCGTTTTAAGGCCAAAATTGTGAAATCCTTCCTATGTGCGAATTGGTTTCCGATCAGTCAATTGTAAAGAAAATCAAGAAAAACCTCTTTTGGATACTACTACCTACAGTTTTATCAATGATTTATTTTCTCAGTCATGTAAAATTTATCGCTTCAATCTATGCGTATCATGTGTCCATATACCAATTTATGACCTGTCACCATATAGCACAGATTCGTAAGGTTGTTTTGAGAGTAAGCTAGGACCGCATATTGTAACAAAATAAACATAACAGCGAGTCGAGTGCAGGCACCGGGCGACCGTAAATCAAAAAGAGAAGGTACCAGGGATCACAAAGGCGTGAAAGGCAAAAAGTTATCTTCCTCTCTCTTCTCGTTACGCCTTTCATGAAACGTCTTTTACTTTTGTTACGCAACATCATCATATACCATCGAGGGAAGGCTACGTTTACCTTTCCAACTTTTATCCCTTGCGCGTTATCGAAGGCTTATTGATTCGTTCTCATGATATTCGCGTCTGCGAGAAAAGAGGGATGGATAAGTTTGAATTTTCGAGCTAGCTAGGAGAGAGCGCCAGAGGAGGAGGTGAAACTAATTTGCCCTCTCAGCGAGTACTTTTGTTTGAGCTCTTATATCCGGTCCATGGCAGGGGGTGGGGCGTATTTACGGGTGAAAGAGGGATTCCACCGATGGGTATATGTACCACCTTTTCAGGCTGATTTGCCGAAGCTGAGAACAAATGGATCGATGTGCGGGTGAACTTCGGAGGATTAAGATGGGGCAAGGCAAAGAGAGAGGGAGGGCTCAAAGTTTTTTAAAACTTTTTGTCTGGGGTAGAAATACTATACGTATTGGGAACGAAACTCGAATCGGGGAGAGCTCGGGGGGAGAAAATACTTTAATGAAGCACCTTTTGAAAAGTTTGCGGCTCGTTTGAAGAACTTCGAAAGCGCTTTAATATTATATATCGCACCAATTAATAATAATTATGTTAAATTGAAGCTAAATGCTCGACGGCGCGCTGCGAGACTTTTCAATTGGTTATTTAAATTCATACATATTATTTTCGATCGATTAGTCATTCGCTTTAAAAAGATCGTGATTTTTTATTTAAAATATTAAATAATAATTCCTTGGGAAGATGAGAAATAATAATTTACATCTACCTTTTCTTCAGCAGGTCAAATTGTCCAGATGACGATATCCTTGAATGGTTTCAGACCTAAAACCAAACAAAAATGATCCATTGTAAAAAGATCACAAAATAATTCAAGCTTTCATGAGAAAAAAAATTTATTGAAAGTCTATTCATAAAAACAGCAGCTCGTAAAAAAAAAAAAAAAAAAAAAGGTTACGGTACACTGCTACAGCGAGTGAACAAATTTAATGCTAATTCGTTTAATCCACAAAAGAGTCGAGAGGAACCGTTTCACAAGACAAAGCACAATGGGAATAAGATTATGCAAACAACTCCTTTTCCTCCTCGGGTGTGCAAAGTTACGACGTAGCATCATCGACAAAGAGCTAAATTAATATCCAAGTTCTCTTTCTCTTTGCTAACACAAATCGAACGAGAGACTGTATAATCCAGAAGCCCCATTTTTCTTCATTCATGTCTTTTCTGCTGTAAATGAAAAAAGTCGATTTAAGAGGGGGGGAAAGGGTACACAACGCATAGACTGCAGTTTTTCAATCCTGACGAATCGTCGTCTAATCTTGTTATACCGCAATCAATCGAAATTTGTCCTCCCCCTCTCCAACACTCATCTCATAGTGTACTAGTGCATTCAAGCGAAGTTCTTTTTATCATTGCACGTGCCAAGAATCCGTAAGAAACAAAGCAATCCGGCTTAACCAGCCAGTGTACACACACTCTTCCGAAGAGATGCTCTTGCACGCGCATCTTTACTCACACCGTTACAGCGTATACACACGTTCGCTTGCATCGATCGACAGACGGATAGGCTAGAGAAAAAAAAGGCAGACAGCGCGCCTTTCGCGAGAATGCCAATTGCGCTTAGGTGTACTCACTGCCGTGTGACTTTTGTTTTTTTTTCTTCTGTCCCCATAGGAGAGCTATACACGTCCGAGTGTCGCTCAGGACGTCCGAGAGTGACTTTGCACGCTCGGTTTGCCTGATGAATCGAGCGCGTGATTGCGTTCGATTGGAACTGCGGAACGGATAGGTAACAGCGGCCGAGAGTCGTTGCTCTTTGAAATTGAATCTTCGTCGGCTTTTTCCGCTACCCTCACCGTCACGTGGCTCCTACCTTGAATGGATTTGCTATCTGTCGCCCAAGAAACGATCGACCTGTTGGCCTGACTGACCGATTTTCGCCGATTGATGTAGTTTCACGGATAGACCAACGCTAGTGTACCAAAGAATATACAATACGGAGGGCTAATAGACCGCAGTCAAGGAAGATCGGCTGAGCGAGATTAGGCATGCACACGTGCCGTTGAGATGGCCCATAAATGAATACACGAGTACCTGATGTTCTTTATATGAGTTACAATTTTTTTCTCGCAGGTTTGAAAGGAAACGAGCACCATACAGCATCACTATTTTATGTTTACTTCATCTTAACGATAGAGTGATATTGTGAAAATATTAAAAATACATTATTCTGTAACATGAATTATCTGACTTCAGGTGGCACGTTATGGCGTTAGAGGTGGATCCGTGGAGAATTTGGACACACGAAGCTTATCAGTACCATATCTTGTACTTGAGAAATCATTGAGTAAAAAGTTTGCCAGGGAGTTAGCTTTTCAGTTGGTATCTTATGGTGCGACTCAATTTACCGCTACATCGAGATCCCATGGCTTGATGTAATACTTGTGGACGACAGTGACAAAACACATGACAAACGTAACTTTTCAGTCACCTTTCACAGCCACCACCATTTAGTTAAAGGTCGTGAGTCGAAGATTGAAACTGTTGCCTTTTCCTATATGACTTTTAAAACCATCGGGCGGCAGGACTTTCTAGATTTTTTTGATAGCTACAACTGGACAATGCTTAACGACGATAGAGTGACTGATCCTGACATTATGTTACAGTGTTTCCCTACAAATTTTGGAAAAGACCTCTTCGATGTTTACAAATTCTGAAGTCTGCATCAGAAGATGGGTTTGCTTTTCGTGAAGTTACAATTAATGACGTAATTTTACCGATACCTCATTTCTCGTGTCAGATTCTAGGTGAGGATGTCTATCCCTGCAATTGACCATCGACTCTTAATTCTGTTTAATGGCAACAGGTAGCTTCCAGGTTAAAACAGGTTTAGGGGAGAAGTGTATCTCGTGCCATTGAAAAAATGCACTGGTTTAAGGAGTGCCTTGGGATTTTGGCCGGCGATGCTGCTGTCCTTTCTTTCGAAGGTACTGGAAAGACCCACCAACAATCAGACAATCGACAACGTGTCCCGTCTCGACAACGGACTTTAGATAGCACAGCTCGACTCAAACAACCCTTTTAAGATTGACAGAAGACACAAAGGGCTCAGTCCAACAGCTTGTCTTCTTCGACTGCAACTAATTTGGGTGTCCCGGAGGGCTCGGTCCTAGATCCTCCGTTGCTCTACTTTGACGTGACAGATATACGTTAAGCATATATGATTTGCTGATAATCTGTTGGTCCATGTCCATTTGCTGATTGACAAATTTACGATGGAGTTGGATGCACTGACGGGATTGGGCGCTTGGGGCTTTCCTCCGGCTCAACACCGGGAAGACGAAAGCTATCGTGTTTGGCTCAAGGGCGGATACTTAATACGGTGGTATTCCTAGGCGTGGCTTGTGTGTCTCTTTTTTTCAACGACACGTCGCGAGATTCGGTGTTACGCCTGATTATGGACTAATTTGGAGGTTTTTTTCACCTCCTACTTTCTGCCTTTCACCCCAAACAAAAAAGAACAAACGCGTAAAATGAAAATCACTCTATCATCCTACGAATCCCTGCAGGAGCACTAGCCGAGAAAAAATAAGTCAATGAAAAAAACAGAGCCACGCGAGGACGGTCGGGAAAACAAAGTAAATTCGCACGATTCGTTGGACAGCACATGCCCTGGGGAAGCGTGAAATCGAAAAGGCTGCTGGCCGTACGTAACACGCGAGATTTTTTTATTATTATTTTGCCCTCGTCCATACTGCAGCGGCAAGTTTATCCGGAGTCTTTCCTTGAGAATGAGCACGTGGGCAAAAGAAAGAGGCCGATGAGAGGTCGATGCCGATGATGAGAGCACCGGCCCCGGCCTCCCTCTCCCGAGCGGGACTGTATTGACTCTGCCCATTCCTTCGTTCATACTCCACCTCGGGCAGGCTTTTTCACGCACCAGCTGTTTGCAAACTGCACGCTCGGCTGTCCGTGAATTTTCCACTGCCCATCTAATATGCTCTCTATGAGTAACACACATGGAAGGGAAGTGCTGTGAGTGGGTACAGGTATGAGTTTTTTTTTTTTTTAATCAGTACAGGCATGTCGTGAGAATTAATTAAATTTACTGGGATTAGTTACGCTTGTTTCATAATTACATATGTAACGTCGTATCGTAATTAGTACACCTGCCTCGCCTGCATTGTTGCACTTTGCACGAAACAGTGGTAAAAGCTACGATTGTAAAAGTAATAGCAACAATTATAATATCAACGATAATAATTCTACATTAATACGGACAGTAGGAATTGCGTAACAATGTGTCGTGTACTAGCGACTATCTGGTATAATTAATTGCGATTTGCAAAATTCCCCACATCCCTTGCCGAAAACGCTGCGAGTTTAAACTTGACATTGCGGAAATTTACTGCAGTATGAATCGCATAACAAACATCGGGGAATAACTCGAAGCTCCGCTGAAATTAATGAACCGCTCCTACGGTGAGGAATGTTATCTTTCCTTCATTACAAAGTCCCTAATTGCGAATCAATGTATTTTTTGCTCCAAATACGCTCAGTAAGTATACCCAAAATGTGTGCTGATTCTAGCAAAAGTGGAGTAGATAAAAAAAATAATATGTATTATTATGCTTTAATTTTTCAAGAACGATGAAGTGAAAAAATTCACCCCAAAGTGGTGCTGTCGACGGCACTGTATTACACACTAAGTACTGCGGAAACAAGTATCGAGAGAAAGCACATCTATTTGACGTAGCTCGGTGGTATGGAAAAGTACTCCGTCGAAAGATAATCATGCCACAATCAACTGCACCTCAATATCTTCCAGACTAGAATGGCCTCGAGCTTCAAAGCACCACATACCTATCTACCTATGCATGAAACTGGACACGTATAGCAGTACTGACCGAATGGTATGCATGAAAAGCTCCGATAATTTCCTGCAAATACAGGCAGAGGAAGCAGAGGATCAGTTTGTATACGCGTGGCAAACAAAATAAACAATACTGCATCACGAATACCCACCTCGGTTACAATAGGCAAAAGAATGCGAGAGCATCTGATGTTCTGTGCAAATATTTTGAAACGTATACTCCACGTGTATATGGTGTCATTAACGCGTGCGAATAACTGATGCATAATATACAACAAAGTTGCGTGACAACGTGGGTGTGTTTTACTGATGACACCACTGTACACCTCTCTGAGCATGTATATGTATCTCGTGAACGTTACGTATGACTCTTTTCCCGTGCGGCGCACACGTAACAATACCACCTACGGTTCTCGATGTTACTAAGTCTAACGAGAATTCGCTCAATGTTTCAGAGTTGCCTTTAAAGTTACCAGTGGCACGATGGGCCCGAGTGCACTCACATCGCGGTAATTGAAATCTGAGTTATTTTCGATACCCACTTTTGTGCGAGATTCATCGGGATTTTTTTTTCCGTTCAAAAATCATCATAGTAAACGGGAGGGTATAGCGAAGTACCCGAGGATTCGATTTACGGGAGCGACCACGATATCTGATTTCACGTGTACATCTGATATTCCGTATGCGCACCGAAACTACAAACGAATCCTGCCTTCCGCAAACTTTCATAACAGCTCCGGTTCCATATTTTCACAGACTGGAGGAGCTTGAAAATCGAGCGTTAAAACTCGTCACGGCGCGTTACTCGATGATTGAATTTCCGCTTCCATCGAGCTAGGAATTCAAAACATGCTTACGAATTCAGCGAGTCTCTCGAGTGAGCGGGCAAAAGTCATCGACGACGAACCAGAGGAGAAGAAAGATTTTTGCAAACAACATTTTACGTGTACAC